TGCCACCTGGCAACCTGATGGCTTGGTCACAGACAGTGTAAAAGTGGGGAGTGGATGGAAGCCGGAGACAAAGGAGGGGTGCCTGATTTCTGGTCATGGAGAGCACAGAGTTCTGATACTACAGACTGGGTAGCTGGGTGACACGATTTTCACTCCTAATGCATCTGTGCATACACACCTACAGGACCACAACAATCAACCCCAGTAAGCTAAGCAGCACCATCTAGTGGAGAACAGAGCCATTGCACTAAGCCCTGCCCAACTGGGCCAACCTCACTCTTCAGGAACAACACAAGTCTCTTTGCCTGCTTAGTTTACAGACTATAAAGTGCTTCATAGTTTGATTTCTAGGGGAAGCTGATATAATTTCAATCGTACTGAAGTCTACTGGTCCATCTATTCAATTTCTTTTCTTTCTTTTTTTATCCTTGAATACAGAAAGAGAAAAAATTTATTTTATTTTCCATTTCTATTAAAAACATTATTTAATTTTTTCTACTTTTTTTATCTTTTTGTAAATTTTTCAAGTTCTTTTTTAATTTCATCATTTCATTTTATTCTATTTCATTGTATTCATTTTTTTCAAATTTTCAAGCATTTTCCTTTTCTTTCCTTTATTCTCTAACCTATCAAGCTCCTTTCAACAACCAGACCAGAACACACCTAGGATCTAGCATCCTTTATTTGATTTTTTGTGTGTTTTTAATTTTTTAATTTTAACTTTTTTTTACCTTTTTAATTCCTTTTCTTCCTTCAAAATGATGAAACGAAGGAATTCACCCCAAAAGAAAGAACAGGGAGAAATGACAGCCAGGGACTTAATCAACACAGATACAAGAAAGATGTCTGAACCAGAATTTAGAATCACGATAATAATACTAGCTGAGGTTGAAAACAGATTAGAATCCCTTTCCATGGAGATTAAAGCTAGTCAGGATGAAAATAAAAATGTTGCAACTGAGCCTTAGTCTTGAATGGATGCCACAGTGTCAAGGACAGATGAGGCAGAGCAGCAAATAAGCAATATAGAAGACAAACTTATGGAGAACAATGGAGCAGAAAAAAAGAGGCAGACTGTCATAGACTCTGTGTCTAATGTTCTCTCTTGTCTAGCAAGAGAGCAGGACACAGGGTGAAAAAACAAGATTGCTAATGTCTGGGAAAAGACAAGAGCCCCAAATAAGAGTCCTTGCCCTGTTTTTATTAGGATAAGAAGGCTTACAAACATGGTGATGGACATGCGCAAAGAGACAATAAATCTGTGAACTTTAACTTGTGGTTGTGAGGGAAAGGGGGTCCTGAAGACATTTGGGGTTAGGGGTTTGGGCTAATACAAAGCAAAATGCTGATGCCAGGCAGTCAGGTGGAAGGTTGTTTATAGCGAACATGAGGCACCACCTCTGTTTATCTTAGCTAGCCTAGGGGAATGAGACAGGTAGGACACGTGACCTCAGAGTTAACAAGGCACCTTTTCTTTTGTTAATCATCTCTTCTCTGGTCTACTTCACCTGTAGCGCAGCGGTCTATAGCCCAATTTACCTGTTTACCTAACTTGGTCCTTCCTTCCTGTGAAAGCAGCATTCTGTTATAGTACTAAATTGTGGGGTGCTTCCACCCTGAATATTTAATCTTGTTTATTTCATATACCTATGTATTGGGTTCCTTTGTACCTCCCTATTCTTGGTTGCCTTGTCTTTTTTACCCAAACTCAGATGTGAGCATCCAATGGTTTTGTACTTCTTTATGCCTTGTTAACCCATTGATGTAAGCCCGGGGGATTTGTAAGCTTATTCCCTACAGGAGACTAAGGCAAAGAGCATGATTTAAGAATTAGAGAAATCAGTGACTCATTAAAAAGGAACAGCATCAGAATCACAGGAGTCTCAGAAGATGAAGACAGAGAAAAAGGGGTAGAAGGGTTATGTGAACAAATCATAGTGGAAAACTTTCCTAGCCTGGGGAAAGACACAGACATCAAAATCCAGGAAGCACAGAGGACTGCCGTTAGATTCAACAAAAACTGACCTTCATCAAGGCATATCATAGTCAAATTCACAAAATACTCAGGCAAGTAAAGAATCTGAAAGCAGCAAGAGGAAAAAAGTCCTTAACCTACAAGGGAAGACACATCAGGTTTGCAGCCGACCTAGCCACAGAAACTTGGCAGACCAGAAAAGAGTGGCAGGATATATTCAATGTGTTGAATTGGAAAAATATGCAGCCACGAATTCTTTATCCAACAAGGCTTTCATTCAAAACAGAAGGAGAGATTAAAGTTTCCCTGAGAAACAAAATTAAAGGAGTTTGTGACCATTAAGCCAGCCCTGCAAGAACTTTTATGGGGGACTCTGAGCAGAGAAAAGATGGAAGAAAAATGACCAAAAGCAACAAAGATTAGAAAGGACCAGAGAACACCACCAGAAACTCAAACTGTACAGGCAACATAATGTCAATGAATTCATATCTTTCAGTACTCACTCTAAATGTCAATGGACTAAATGCCCCAATCAAATGACATAAGGCAACAGAATGGATAAGAAAACAAGATCCATCTAGATGCTGTTTACAAGAGACCCACTTAAGACCTAAACATACTTTCAGATTAAAAGTAAGGGAATGGAGAACTATCTATCATGCTAATGGTCTCCAAAAGAAAGCTGGAGTAGCCAAACTTATATCAGACAATCTAGAGTTTAAATAAAGACTGTAACAAGAGATGAAGAAGGGCATTATATGATAATTAAGGGGTCTATCCACCAAGAAGACCTAACAGTTGGAAACATTTATGTTCCAAATGTGGAAGAACCCAAATATATAAATCACTTAATCACAAACATAAAGAAACTCATTGATTATAATACCATAATAGTCAGGGACTTCAACACCCCACTTACAGCAATGGACAGACCATCTAAACAGAAAATCAACAAGGAAACAATGGCTTTGAATGACACACTGGACGAGATGGACTTAACAGATATATACAGAAGATTTCATCCTAAATCATTGGAATACACATTCCTCTCCAGTACATGTGGAACGTTCTCCAGAATAGACCACATACTGGACACAGATCAGCCCTCAACAAGTAAAAAAAAAAAAATTGAGATTATTCCATGCATATTTTCAGACCACAAAGCTATGAAACTCGAAATCAACCACAAGAAAAAATGTGGAAAGATAAATAATTGGAGACTAAAGACCATCCTACTAAAGAATGAATGGGCTAACCAAGAAGTTAAGAAGAAGTTAAAATGGAAGCCAGTGAAAATGAAAACAACACAGCCCAAACCTTCTGGGACACAGCAAAGGCGGTCATAAGAGGGAAGTATATAGCAATCCAGGCCTTCCTAAAGAATGAAGAAAGGTCACAGAGACACAACCTAACCTTACACCTTGAAGAGCTGGAAAAAGAACGGCAAGTAAAAC